GCTTACACACTTACTGTTTTGAATATTTTAATAGATATTTTAATATCTATCTTTTGTTAATGACAAATAAACCTCAGCTTCTTCACATGTTTTAATGATTAGGAGTGAAGGTCTTTGGGAAAAAAAAAACCAAAAGCTTGGACATTCAGCTTCTGGTAATCTTAATGAGCCCAGTAAATATCAGGAAGAAAGTCAGGGCTTTGTATCACCTTTTTCTTCTCCCTATTCTTTATTAGTGAAGAAGAGAGGACAAAGGATAAAAATGATTTCTTGCTACTCAGGGAATCCCCAGCAACTGCAGGAAAATTGGAAAGTTTGCTACAACAAACCATTCTGTCCCTTTAAGTGTGGGATCTGGAAATCCTAACATAGAAAATCCATAACAAAACTTTCAAAAGGCAGAAGGTATCTTGTTGAGAGAAAGAAACAGTTTATGATGCTGTTTGAAGTCTCACTGGAAAGCACTCCTGCCTCTGCTGGGTAGATAAAGTTATAGAAATGGCTGTATTAGCTAGAGCCTCGTGTGAAAAACAACATTTCATCACTGCATACCTGCTTCTCACACTGAGAGGAAGTAAAATTCGAGGGGTAGTAAAGCACAGAAGAGTGCAAGGCAGGTGGTGAAGGATGTGCTAAGGAGGAAGTGCGCAAGAGCATATTGCTGAAGGGATAGGATGCCAGAAACCTTCCTTACCTCCAGCTTCTGTAACAGCTAAACATGCTGCAATTCACTACGTATACATCCCCAACACACCTGGAAATCACTGTTGACAGTTGGCAAATGAGAAACCCAAGGACACAGAGGCTGAGGGGTAGGTTTTTTTTTTTAAAGGATCAAAATCACAGCAAGAAACTGAAGACAGTCCCTTGAATTCTAGGCTTATTTATTCTCATGTACCAGTCAGTCATTCAAAGCTCTGATTTATTCCTGTTATAAAAAAAAAAAAAAAACACAACACAGCAAAAGAAAGCCCAAACTAAGCATTCATCTTGTATTGATCCAACGTCTTTCACCTAACTCATAATTTCACTCCTTCAGAGAAAATGTAGTTTCATCCAGGCTTGAGCTAAAAGGCTCCAGAAAATGTATTCTACAAGTTGCCATATGCCTCTTCTGTTTGGAAAAAAAAAAACAACCATCTAATTGAAGAGGAACAGATATTTCAGAAATTTGTATTCTGCTTCTGTACACCCAAGGGAATTCAACAATTCAGCTAAAATGAGTAGTCAGTTGTTTTTGTTGTTCTTCATTTGCAAATCTCTGGAACATTTTGAGCTTTAATCATATCACTAAAAGGAGACATTTTCTGATTTTGTTGGATCATATGGGCATCATCTACATCTTTCACTTGAACAAAGGCTTTTAGTGGCAGAAGCCTCTAATATCACCACCTAAATATATGCAACTTGGTGCTCTTAGGTTCTCAAGTGAGCACAACACGCTGTAGTTGCTGTGATTTTAAGTTAATATGTCAGTTATTACCAAATATTATTTTACTTCCCACATTGTGTCAGAAAGATTAATAGGTGTCGCAGTATTGGGGGCTGTGTTAATAGATTTAAAGGTGAGGAGAGGCAGAACCTCCCTCACCACTAATGGGAATATTTAAAATCAACCCGAAAAGCACACAGCTTCACCTCAATAAAGATCAACAACGGAATTTTCCATTTCTTTACTTCAATGACTTTTTGATTTCATGGATAACTCAACTGCACGCACATCAATTGTATATAATGACAAGTTCAGTATTCAAAAATAGATTGGAAAAAATGAGAACACAATGTTACTAATTCTTAAAAGAAAGTACAGAAGACACGAAGAATGGATTATGTTAACTAAATCACTAATCACTAATCTTGTATCTGGAAATTTACTTGAAATTGAGTATCCCTTTCACTAATGGATGAATGGAAATAAACTGAAACTATATTACAGTCAATTTTCTTCTGATCACAGAGGTACTTTTTTTTTATTCCTAAAATGAACTCAAGATCTCTGCAAAGTAAAGCAAAACCATCAGTTCTTTTGAATGGTTGGGACAGAAGGGTACAAAATGGTGAAGAAGAATATCCTGAGGGTACTACATTCAGTATTCAATCCAAAGTTTACTGGAAAAGGGTTTCCAGTGCTCCTCACTTACAGGAACTGCTCTAAGAAACCAGAAATTAGGGTGAGAGTTGATTTTATTGCAGTCCTTTTCTAAGCATTACCCTGTAATAGAATGCAAATGCATTTACAGGGAATCGCATTTCCTGGGCTCAGTTTCAAAGGAGGTCATGCTTCCAATAATTAAATTGCATACAGAAGGCAGTCACTTATATTCCACCCTGTTAATTTTATGCAAAACAGAACCCTATTGATTTCCTACACTTTCCCAGTGTTTAGCTGAAGTTACACGCACCCCATCAAATACACGAAACGGATTTCTTCCATTACTGGAAATCTGAAAAACGATGCATAGTATTAGAACCTAATGATAGATCTGTGTATTAAGGGTGGCAAAAAGGACTGGAACAGGGCAGTTTGCTGCAGATCTTACGCTGCCAGCCAAGGAGCTTACTTGGTGATCTACTTGGGAATTCACCCTGGCGTATTTCTTTTTATACACTATTGCCATTCCCCTGAAGTGCTCAGCAATTCTAACGTTGCCAAGTAAGTTATCTTTCTTTCCTCTCACTTGGATATTTTAACAATCTCTACAGCCATTTCTTCTAACCCATCTCTCTTGCAATAATATTATCATCGCCATTAGGTGGAAGTACCATTACACAGACGGTCAACTGAAGAATGAGCAAGATGCTGCGTGACTGGGAGTAATGAGACACCAATCTCCTAAATCCTCAGTACTTTAGACCCCATTGTGACCTGTGTTTTGGGACTATACCCCATGCTGCGACCTGTCAAGGCAATGCTTTTTACAAGAACTGCAAGGAAAAAAGAAAACTAAATCCCTCAGCCTCCCTCTGCAGAGCTCAGCACTAACAACTCCAGAATGATTAGCACAGAGCTTGTCTGCAAAGTAAAGTCCACTCAAGTCAAGGGAAATATCTCAATTTTTTGAAGAGGGTTTGCAGATTGGAGTTATAATTGAAGCTTACTTTCTCAGTGTTATCTCAAGGTGAAAGCCGACCACCAAACGCAGCAATCAGCAGCAGTGTCATTACCAACCACAATTATTTAAAACTATTGAAATGCATTATTCCATGAAAGTAATTTCCTTCTGTTTCCTTCATCTTAGAGTGAAAATATTCAGGGTGGGTCTCTGCATTGCAATCGTGTGAAATTAGTTCAATTTCTCAGAATAGTCATCTGACAGTTACGCAAAATGTAAAATGAAAATTTAAGTCTGAAGTAAGAACTATAATTCTCCCCTTCCTCTCTCCAAACGCAAATGCAAGCATTAAAGGACCCTGAAATGATATTTTTTAAAACGTATTTTCCTTCTAAAGAAAACACAAGGTATTTGTGCCACATACACAGCTTTCATGAGCTATTACAAATGCTTCACAAGAGATTACCTCAGCAGACAGAAATGCAATGCAACAAATTTGCTAAATCAGATTTCAGGCATCTCAGACAGAAAACTTTGAGAGACGATTTGATTTATGCAGTGGCTTAGAAACGATGCTGTGGACAAACCACCTTTCTAGAATGCCTGGAACATGGCCTATGCCATACAGACACACAGAAATCAGACAGTGTCTTAAAACACATATTTAGGAATCAAAACTGTTTATGTGCCACAAAATAATCTCTCAGCTGAGCTGGGCAAGATATGCCATCAGGGTCAAATAAAAGCAATTCTTTAACAAACCTCAGCTCAAAACACAGGAGATAAAGGTTTTTATTATAGTTTGTTTTGTCACTAAAAGCAGTTATATGAAGCCTAAAAGATGTTGAGTCCCTGGAATGCCTACTGACATAGCAAGCACAACATGCATGAGTCCACATCTGACTCCATCTTTGATTGAAGTTGTATTTTCCTCCTTGCAGGTTGATCCAAGTGATGCCATTATACATCCAATATAATCTGTACACTCAGCATCAGCAAAAAGACTGTTTAGCTTATCAAAATCTATTTAGGTACCCAAAAGTAGCTTGGCTACAACACAAAATTATTCAGAAGAAGATATCAAGTGGTAAATGATTATCCAGTACATCACAGGCACAGAAAGAACCGCTGGATGAAGGAAAGCCTGACTCATTCAAATTAAAGCCAGGGTACTAATTATTTAATGACTGCAAGTAAAGCTGCTGGCATAGGGTAGGTAGGGAATTCGTAAAAATCACTTCTTTAGAGATTTAAGTACTGACTGAAGCAACATCCAGTAGTGATTGTGCAGGAGGAACTGTTTCTGCTTTGGAACAGGAAGATGAGTTTGTACTACTTGCCTGACATCAGCAGAGAAAGCTGTAGGATTCCCAGCAATGGTAACCACCAGCAACATGCAAAAGGTTAGAGCTGTATGTCTACTCACCTCAAAATCCACTAAATTTGGGTAATTGGAATAAGATCAATGTTTGCCTCTTATTTAAGAAACTCATTCCACTACTCTGCTCAGAGATACCAACTTATTTCCTACTGACTGTTGAAAAAAAACTAGGAAGTCCAACAGAAATCCCACCATTCTACACTAAAGAACTCCTCAAAAGATGAGCTCTCTGAAATTACTCTCAGCCTTAAAACCAAAATAACTTCATCTGCTCCTGAAATACCAAAAAGTTGTCCACAAGTTAAATCACTAATCCTAACAAAACATTAGGAAAGCACAGCTAGAAGCGCTCCTTCTGCTTCTGGGGTTGCAACCTCTAGGGCATGTTAAAAACTCTTGGATAAGCCAAAGTTAGAAATCACATGCTTTGAAAAACCACAAAACAATGCCACAGACTGTAGGCAAAGGCAAATACAGATAACCTGTTCTAAATCACACCCCCCCTCCCCAAAAAAAACATGATAACCACAACCCAGTAAAAATAATAATAATAATAATTTACTTACCCATCCCTAGAATGAGCATTCACCAAACAATCCAAGAAAAGTGATCTCCACATAGAGACCTTTACCTTCTCACAGCCAGCCCTTAAATGAGGCTTAGGGAGAGTAGAACCTGGTTCCACCTCTTCTGATCACATAGGTGAATTGCTTTCACCTGTGCTCCCAGGGCTGATTGTGTCATTGGTTCAGGCTGTGACTCAGCAATCCCCACACACAAGCATTTCCTGAATAAGGGTAGAATCTCACGTGTGCAAAAAGGTTAGTGATATTTGAAATATTGGAATAGCATAGTGTGAATGTGAATTCTGAGCTCCTTTGAAAATCCAGCCTGCCTTTATCCACATTTACCAGGATCTCACTGTCCGGTTAAGCACCTGCATTATTCATTCAAACCTCATGCATTATTATTTTATTTTTTTTTAAACATAGGAAAGCAGTTTCTAATTTGGTCCTCTGAGAACAGATTTATAGCAAGGTTCACAGATTTCAAAGTTTAAGACAGAAGCAAGAGTTGAAACATAGTGCAACACAGCAGAACTCATGGCCAATCATTAGCCCCAGCTTCACTCCCTTAAGGACCAACAGCTTTTCAGTTCTTCAAAAAATCTAACCTCAGTGGAGAAGTGGAATTTAAAGTTCAACCCTGAATTCTAGAAAAATAACTGCAAGCGAGATGTGAGGTTACTGAGCAAGTCCCTTCAAAGAGGAGATGAAGAGAAGATATGTCTGGTCAACGACTGGAAACCCAGACTGAAAACACAAGGTTGTATGTGAGCCATAACTGTGTGCAGCCTATTCATTTTGTCATGTGGCAGTGGGCAGTTTGTCTGATTAGCACTCAATACTCCCAGCTTCAACACTCACTCTTCCCCCCTCCCCAGTTCGCAATAGCAAAGATCTTCACAGTGCAGCACTCATCTTCTTTTGGATGTTTCACAGCCTCACCCAGCTTCCAGCAACAATACACCACTAGTAATAATGAGAAGTGGGTGAAACTCCTTTCTAGCATTATTACCCATGCATAAGAACTTGAACTGTGCTTTCAAGAACTGTGTGTGTCAGTAAAAACTCGAGTCACAGTAAGACAGCCAGGTAGAAGCTGCAATGGGATGCTCAGGTGCAGAACTGTACTCATCTGAAAAAAAAAAAAAGACTGAGCAGGAATATTAGGAAATAGCTTTAGGAAGTTACCCAGATGCTACAAAGGCTGTACTGATTTGTAATAGAAGTTAGTTTCAAAATAATGAACTGAAATGCCAGTCCTGTCTGAAGTGTTCTCCAAAAGTCCCTTATCCAATAGCTTCTTCTGGGCTGTTTGCTTCTCTCCTAATAGCAGAAAACATTCTGGATAAAGCCACATAAGCAAAATCCATGACTAGCAGAGATTAGGAATTACTTTTTCTAAGCCTTGCAACCCTCCACACTCATTGCAAAGTATACCAAAAAGAAAGAAAAAAACCAAAAAACACAACATTCCTTGCAATGACTCTGCTGCTCATGAAAAACATTTTTCCCATCACTGACATGGCAGATATGCAGCTGACATCTGCTCAGCTGTTTAAGATTGCTTTGCTGACACACAAAATTGAGTTTCACTGTGAAATCAAGATGATATCATTGGTTATTATAGTAAGTTGCTAAAAACCATGGTAATGCTTTTCCATCTCTTACAATCAAGTGGTTATCTTTGTGCACTTTTCCCTCCCTCCCAGTCAGTAGTTGGAAGTTTGTCTTCTTAATAGAACACCCATTGGAAAAGCATTTTTGTTATGTTTTTAAGCTGCTGCTGTTTTCAATAAAGCTAATTAACATCTTGCAGTAAAACAGTTCCCTGAGTCTCCTTAGGTTTCAAATGCAGCTGACCTATGCACAATAGGGTCTTCACTTTAGATTGAACAAACTCATTAGTGTTTCCTAATAAATGAGATTACCATTCTGTTCACTCAGCCTCCCAGAAGGTGCTGCAAGGAGGGGGGTGAAACTGGGACGAACATTTGATTTGTGTGCCCTACACCTATGCTACTTTCCTCCATTCAGCAACAATTAAAACCTGAAAGAGGAGAAAGAAGTGAGCTGATTAGAGATTTGGGAAATTTCTGCTTAAAAACTAAACGGAACCACAGATCTAAGAGTGGTCAGCATGGATTCCCCATTGTATCCGTATCCGAAGCACACTCATGCCTTGGTGAGGCTGTTTTTTACCTTCAGTTCTCTAGTGCCATGGGCCAAAATGAGAAGGAAAGCAGCTGGGAGGCCTTTTTCCATTACACCTACTCAAGGTTGTGCATAGACCATCACTGCATTTAAAATGAGACAAAGGGGAATCAATTAAGCTGTCTGTCAGTTAACACAGAATTCAAACCTGTTTGCTCCTCTCAAAATGGAAGAGACATTGATGAGGCAAGATTTCTCATACTTAATTGTTGTTCTGCATAGTCAATACAGTCAAACTCCTGAGCAAAGGAAACACCCCCACACTGTTTCCAAAGGTGCTAATCTTCTGCCTCGACAGATAACTCAAGTTAACTGAGAAATTAATGAGACCAAAGACATCCTGTGCATTTTCAGATGAAACAGGAGCAGAGACCCTTTGAGCTTCAGCAGCATAGGTTAGGGAATGAGCTTTTGCAATAGGAAAGTGAAGGTCAGAGCAAGGATGCCTGAGGAAGACCAACCATAGTGCAACAGCTTACCTTTTCTATAAGGACTTCTGTAGCTCCAGAGAAAATATTTGCAGGTCAAATGCTTAGGAGCTGTTCAGAAGAGAGAAAATATTTTGAAAATCTTGGAAACCTTAAATAAAATAAAATATCAATAGTGAAATGTTCCACCAGCTCATCTGAGCGGTGTCTGTTCATTCTTTGCCAGAGTTTGTGCTACCCCTCTGCTTTGGCCAAAAGCTGTTATTATCCAGATTTCTTATTTCTACGGGCTGCTCGGTTTAAAAAAGACTCTAACAAAAGATTTCATCTACACCCTCTGATCTGATGAAAATGAATATCCATTTTTCTAACCTAAACACCACCAGCATTTTTTTCTCCCAAGAGCTTACCATCCAATCTCTGTACAATTAAACCAGAAAAGCGCTCACTCGTGCCTTTTAGAAGCAGTAGATTACCCATAATCCCCTCCCAAAGAATTCAAATTCTTTTTTTTTTCCATTAGAAAAAAGCCTAATCGTGTCATATCTAAAAAGAGACTGCTTGAAGACCTGTCGAGCGGGATCAAAAGTAAATAAAATTAAACATCATCTTTAAATTCCTCAGTGACAGGAACAAAGCCTGCAACAAGGGGGTACCCAGCTTCTAAACTGCATTTCCCAAGTGGCCACTGGTCTCAGATCAAATGTCTGGCCTCATTTCCATCTGTGAAAGGCTTTGTGCTAAAGGAAGTTTTAGGTGATTTCGGAAGGTAGCAATGGCCTTTTGTAGGCTGTTATAACTGTTTAGTAGAGAAAAAAGACAACTTCTAAGATGTTGCATTATATTTTTATGCAACCTGAGATCTTATTTGTTGTTCTGAATTTCCCAGGTATTGATAAACTAGCTTTTAAAAAGTTATTTTTTATTACTTAGAAGTCTTTATGTTGGCAGGACTAAAATCTGTTGTTCTCTTTAGTAGCATAGGAATTTAGCTGTACTGCAATTCATGGATCTGTTCGGGTATGGAGAAGTGAAAAAAGCAGAATTTGTTCATAGCTTGTGGCTTCTCTTGGAATTCAAACTAATGCGAGCACCTCTCTTGCTTCAGGCTGCTATTGAATTATGGGATGTGCTCGCTAAGGATTCAGCAGCTCATATATTTGTCAGATTCTACTTGTAGTATCTGCATTCAAAAATCCCTAGCAGTTTCATTAAATGCTGTAGTAAAAGGAGAAAGAAAGCTGAAGCTAAATAGAAAGGCTTATAATTATTATCTTTTCCGTAAGGTACACAGAAGTAACTTGTTTATTTTTAACGTTAAAATAACATTTAGATTGTATCCAATGTATCTATTATATTTTGTACTTTTGTTTGTTTTGGGAGACTTCATCCTGAATAATGGCTGATTTTTTTTTTTTTAATTTGAATTTGAAAAAACTGCTACATGAAGTCTTTGGGGCTCAGCTTATGTTCTCAAAGATACCTTGGTGCTCACAGAATCAAATATTAATATCTTCAGCTTTTAGGCCTTAAAAACTAAGGCAGATGGTATCTTGAATTTGCACTGCTTAGCTTTCTAGCTAGAAGTGTGAAAGTCTCCTTTTGTACCACAGAGATTTACTACTACAACTGATAAAGAAACACCAGCACGCAATTAGAGTTAGTTTTCACCAAAGGCTTCATAACAGCAATCTGCCTCCTATGTTCCTTATTGTTTAACAAGGCACCTGCTGAGAGTTTTTATGTGTAGAGGTTAGGTATATTTAGAAGGATGCTCTGATTTAAATACATGTTGTTTTTATGTGCTCTGTGCAATTATAAATGCAGGAGTGAGATATAAAAACACAGCTCCTTCTAAAGAACTAATATCTAGGCTTTAATTTACTTATTTAGCATTCCCAAATATACACACTTAATTAAAGCATCAGGGAAACCTCCTGTAGCCTGCATATATAGGGATCTTCTATGTTTCTTCCCAAAATATGCATTCCTGCTTTTGAGATTAGTTTCTCAACCAAAGAACGGGAGCAGCTTAGTCCTGCTGCTTTTACAGATCTAAGGGGAACTAATGACCAGCATGTTTTATTCTTCCTCCACAAGGAAGGAGGATGCTGCTGCTTCTCAGCTTGTTGCCCCTACAGCTTTGAAGAAATGGGGGACCAGAGAAAGGCCTCCAGGAGCAGCAGCCACCTCCGCTCTGTGCTTGGAGCATTCAGAGCAGCAAAGGCTGTGAGAGGCATTCCTGCGAGCCAGTGCAGTGCATGGGCATATGCTGTCAGAAATGAGTACTAATTGCCCTGGCAGCGACAGGCCAATAAAGCTGATTGGTTTTTAATTTCTTGGCGCTGAGAGTCCAGCTGCGTGCTGCACAAATGGAGCAATGCTATCCAGGTATCACTCAGGCTGTTTAGCAATGCCAATGGCTCTGC